AAAGCCGAAAGAGTAGGGGGCCTAGCGGGAAGGGGAGGGGGGGCTTGTCTTGCTTTTCTTGATCCGCATCGAAGTATTCGCGGCGAGGTGTTTCGGTATCGCCGCCTGGTGTAGTCTTTTCCCAACCCGAAGGGAGGATACTTCAACAGCATCTGCTGGTGCAAGCACGTGCAATGCCAAGCATCTATGCACTATATAAATTAAAACGTAACCACGTGGGTAGCACGTGCCCTAGCCATAGGGAAGAAAACAGAAGCGCCCCTGGCGAGCTTCTCGCCGCCAATGGTGATCACGTTCCTAAATCGACACCATCAGAGTTGAGAGTCTGACTTTGCTCTTATTTTCGTCGGTGAGAGGAGAGCTCATCCCAACGTTATTAGATTAGCTCAGTTACGGAACTGCTCATAGACGCCGCATGCAGGAACAGTACCCCCTCTCACTCACCACGACTCGCCAAGCGTTGCTCAACGCGCCGCCAGACGGCTGTTTTGGTAACTGAATCAGGATACGTGCGTTTCAACGTTACCAGAAACCTAAAAACCAACGGAAAAAAACTCTTTTTATAGTAACTTTTATGGGAGTTTAGTACAAAATGGGGGGCGCGTGATGTTTTTTAAAATCTTTAGTTTGCTAGGTTTTGCGACACAATAATATATTTTTCATACAACCATGCCTCAGCAGTGATTTCAGGTAGCGTGTCCCGACCTAGGCTCATCTTACCTTCTAGATGAATCCGCGGCGCGTTCGCTGGGGAGACGGGGGTGGCATCCTTGTAACCCTTTCCACTGTATCTGATTCGGCTTCGAAATGGCCGATTGAAGCCAAAATAGATGTTAGGTGCAGTTCCTCGAGTGACAGCTGCAGGGTAAATGGCGGCGTTGTGATCGCCATTTGGCGCTTTAGCTCGAACGCATAGTTATGAAACGAAAATATAGATGGCGCTTCGAACGACGCTTGGCGGATTGAAGTGAGTGAGGGGAGGTTTCTGGTCTTTTCTGTCATGCATTTAAACACACAAAGTATTAGAAGCAAACAGGACAAGCTTGACCTTTTTTTCAACCACTATCAGTTAGTTTTGACCTAATGTTGTTTACAGAAATGTGGCTCTCTGCGAACGAGGCTCCACCTTATTTTGAAAGATACAAATTTGAAAGTCTATGCAGAACTACAAAAAGGGGTGGTGGAATAGCCATGTATTTTAAAGAAATCTTAAACTACGACGTACTGGAAGATTTTAAATTAATGAATAATGATATTGAGTGTCTGGTTGCCAAAGTAGAGTCTCTGTATATTGCAGATGTGTATAGGCCACCCTCTGGTAATGTTACTGACTTCTTAGAATTTTTTTAAATAACCTGCTGCAATTTTTGGGTGAATTTTCTCTACCATTTCTGATACTTGGAGACATCAATCTTAATACAATTGCTTCAAAAAGACGGGGGTGGCATCCCTGTAACCCTTTCCGCTGTATCTGATTCGGCTTCGAAATGGCCTTTAGCTCGAACGCATAGTTATGAAACGAAAATATAGATGGCGCTTCGAACGACGCTTGGCGGATTGAAGTGAGTGAGGGGAGGTTTCTGGTTTTTTCTGTCATGCATTTAAACACACAAAGTATTAGAAACAAACAGGACAAGCTTGACCTCTTTTTTCAACCACTGTCAGTTAGTTTTGACGTAATGTTATTAGGATCTTAATACAATTGCTAATGATGGACACGCCAGAGAGTTTTGGGACATTTTAAATCAATATGCCTGTAGCAACGAAATAACGCTGCCTACCAGGGTGAGTCAAAAGAGGGCAACTTCAATTGACGTCTGTGTTACAAATGTGCTGGCAAATAAGCTTGTATCTGGTGCGTTCATAGAGGACATCAGTGACCATCTTCCTATTTTTAGCCTGTGCCCTTTCATGCGTGAAAAAAGCACAAAGGAAACTGAAACACTTTTTTATAGAGAAAGAAATGATGAAACGCTGAATACTTTTACTTGCCTTTTAGAAGAAACAAATTGGGGAGAAATGTTCACGGAGGAAAATCCTTTTTCAGCATTTAATATCTTTCATGGGAAGTATAAAGCTGCTTATGACGCATCCTTTCATTTAAAACAACCAAAACGGAAAAGTAATAAAATTAGGAAACCCTGGGTAACCACGTGTTTAGTAAAGAAAATCAATAGAAAGAATAAAATATATCACGCATTCTTGCGTTCACGTGACCTGAACGTACTAAGAGAATTGTAAAAAAATAGGAATAAAGTAAACTCTGATTTGAAGGCGGCCAAACGCCAGTATTACCAAAATAAATTTCTGTCTGCTCACGAATGACCAAAAGAAAGTACAGGAGGTTTTTAATACTGCAGAAAACCTGAAAGAACAGAAAAGTGCAGTGAAAGAAATCCTAATCAACGGGAATGAGGTGACGGGCGTTGAAATGGTAAACGAAATGAACAAGCATTTTATAAATATCGGCGGAAGTATGGTATCGCAAGGCAATACTAACGCCGACGTGATAACAATGACGAAGATAACAAATTCAATAATGTTCTTCGCGACAACAATGTACGAAATAGAAACGCTCATTGGATAAAATAAAGAAAGACGTAGTAGCGGGTGACGACGGGTTGAAGGCTCAACCACTCAAGTATGTAGCTACAATTATTAGCCCTACACTATCATACCTCGCGAATAGCGTGTTAGAAAGCGGTATTTTCCCGACTGATTTGAAGCTGGCTAAAGTTACTCCTATTTACAAGGGCGGTAGTAAAAAAAGTATCGAAAATTACAGGCCCATTTTTGTACTAACAATATTCTGTAAAATATTTGAAGGCGTAATAAAAAACCGCCTGGAAAGTTTTTTCACAAAGCATAGTGTAATCTCCACCGCCCAATACGGGCTGCAAAAGGAAAAATCTACAGAGCAAGCTCTTCTCGACATTAAAGAGAAATTGGTTGCAAATATTGAAGACAAGTTACTTACACTCGGACTGTTTTTAGATTTGAGGAAAGCGTTCGACACCGTTCAGCATCCCATTTTGCTCAACAAACTAGAATATTACGGCATCCGCGCGGTCACGCTCGCATTACTAAAAAGCTATTTAACAAATCGGCAACAATACGTAAAAATTGACAATCTAGAATCAAATAAGAAAAAAACGCGTCATGGTGTCCCACAGGGTTTGATATTGCGGCCATATCCGTGTGCTCTGCTGCTGAGCGCGTGCTGACGGCGAGCTTCCGCAGTCCTTTTGGACCTGCATTTAGCACCATCAAGGTTGCCGGTCTTAGCAGGATATTAATGTGAGCTCGTTCTGAGCATGCGCTCCAAATATCGCCCTCAAATATGGCCGTCCAGTGAATACCTCCTATATAAATGGTGTAAGCATTTCTGGTTCCCCGGAGTTAATAATGTATGCAGACGACATTAATATTTTTTTTAGTGAAGCAACTCGAGAATGCCTGGTGGAGAGGGCAAACGCCTATCTTGTAAAGCTTTCAATATGGCTGAGTTCCAACGGGCTACAATTAAACACAAGCAAAACAAAATATGTGATTTTTAAACCAGCAACAAAACGTCTTACAAGCTTCATTAAGATTACGTTTGAAGGTGATTTAATAGATCAAGTAACTGAGCAAAAATTTCTGGGTTTGTGTTTTAACCAAGAGCTAAAATGGAATACACATGTAAATAAACTAAAGTCAGAATTATCACGAGTCCTTGGCTGTATTTATAGAGTAGCAAGCCTGGCGCCGGAGATGGTTAGTAGAAACATTGTATTACTTTTTATATTTTTCCAAAATGTGTTACGAGATTCTTATATGAGGCACAACTACAGCATCTGATTACTATAAATTACTAATCCTGCAAAAAAAAATTCTACGTATATTCGGAAACTAGGGGGGGGGGGGGGGGGGGAGAATAAGAGAACTTGGGACGGGACACTTTTTAATAAATACAAGATCTTAAAGGCAAATCAAGTATATCACTTCAAATTATTTCAATTAATTTATCTAAAAAGGTTATACGCCACCCCAGTAGCAACAGAAGAACTGTACCCGTTTCGTCAAGTTAAAAGGCGGGAACCCTATATAAGAACAAATTACGGAAGGCAGAGTATACACTATCAAACAATTAGTCTATTAAATAACATGCCCTCTATGAACTATACAAAGTCGTTCCCTTTATTTAAAAAGATGTAATGCGCTGCTGGTAGACAGCGATATAAAATTTATATAAATGTTATAAAATTTATCTAAGCTTCCTAATCACCAATAAAGTTTTGTATTATACTTTATACCTTCAAAATTCATCCTTGTTTTATTTTATGTGCATGACTCGCCTTGTTGGGCATATACTGTTTTTTTTTCTGTAAAGTGAGCGATAATGATGTTTGTTATTTGTGTGTTCCTTAGATGACTTGTTTTTTCTTTCATGTGGATTATATTCTGTATTCTTGTTTTTTGCATTCAGTACGCATTTTTATCCTTATATACATGACTTTTATTGTTGCATTTGTGTTATGTATGTGTGCCTCCGTTTTGTAAAAGTTTTTTTTATACTGCTGTATTATTTTGTTAGATGGAATGCATTTTTTATGTTAATTTTTTCTGTCTGGACTGGTAAGGGACCAGGTGCCATGTCAGGCTTTTTTAGCCTTTTGCACCGGCCCTTCTTTCGGGCTCTGCCCGAAGGAAAACAAATAAAGAAAGAAAGAAAGAAAGGTACCCACCTTCGCAGGAGTTCCACAACTGAGGTAATATAACAACGTTGGCTCATCCTACTCAAGACGTCATAGTGAGCGTTAGGCCAATCCTGGAAGTCCGATCGCAGCGACACTTTTGGTCACGCATGTCTCCAATAGTGGTGGAAGTACAATCGGAAAGATCGGGCAAGGCCACAAACTGGGAGCCTCTTCCGTAGAAATTCTGGAGGCCTCCCGTTGAGAGAAGATAAGACGAGTAGTTTCACTGTGTCCCTGTTTTCGTCTCGTTCCAGCGACGTGATGGAAGTCCGATGGACGGCCATCCTCGTCACCATTGCCTGCTTGCACGGTTGCAGGGCTGCCTCCCTGTCCGCGTCGGCGAAGCATTACACCTCGGCGGTGACGCCGTGTGAGTGTTCCATTCCTACAACTTACCTTCGGGAAGGATCTACACGTCTAGTTTCTTAATTGATGCCCTCTGATATATACGTATATTCGAGCGCACATTGCTCCACGAAATTAATTAATTGTGGCAGCCTAAGTGGGCAGACTATTGTTTCCCAGTTATTTATTTATGTAGTCATTTAGATTTAATTTGTATCCAATATTAAAATTGTGAATGAAATCACGTTATCTAATTTATGCGTATTGGCTAAAGCGGCCCGAGAGTAATTTTTTGGGGTAGTCCTTATTAATTTCGTACCCACTGCGCTACATTGTAAATACCGATGAACAAAACTTATACGCATTCGTCTAAAATAACAATTGGATACAGAAACAATGCAATCCCACATTATATGGCCGCATAGACGATATTTTACGTTGTCTCGGAAAATCAAGGCAGCATATCATAATTTTATCACTGATAAAGACCGACGTGTTCTCATTGCCTGTTCTGACACTGATGATCATAGCACAACAAGCATAAATGGTTGTTTCGGTAAAGTTTTTTATCGGAATAGACCGCGAAAGTAATCTAGTCTGCCCGTAACATCGTAAAATCTTCGCCTTTACACACTAGGAACAAATATGCAATTGAAAATGGCCTCACTCAGCATTATTCCAAGCCCCCCCCCCCCCCCCCCCCCCCCCCTGCGTCGAGAGCAAGGAGGAGAGAGAGCAAGCGGCAACTAGTTCGTTCTAGATAGCCCTTTTCCATTATAAGCGTGAAAGCACGTTACGAGCGGAGACTTAAGTTTTAGATTATGAGTCTGGGCAAGAACAGAAGTATACTTTGCGCCCGGAAAACGTCGGGGCGAATTTAGAAAAAGGGGCAATTGCATGAAAAGTACCGGCTGTTTTTGCGAAGACTTTAAAAAATCCTGAAAATTAGGGCGCTTGAAAAAAAAAAAAAAAAACTGTCTTTGGGAACAAACTACCAGCCACGGCGAACGTCAGGTATTGCCGAAAGCATACTAATTAGCCAGCTAAACAATTAAATTTGTTAATTAACTTTTTAATTATGATAATAGACATATTGTTCCAATTAGAAAGTTGCTAAGCGTTATCGAAAACCACTAAATCAGTCATTTTCAGAAAGACTTTGAGCGCGTGAGAAGAGTAGTAGCGCACTAAAGTTACCACTCGTGGAGCAGGTACAAGGCTAGCGGTTACGGTAAGGCGGCCGCGCGATTTTTCCGCCTCTTATCTTGCCCCAGCCTCGTACCTGCTCCACGAGTAGACTAGTAGGTAACTTTAGTGCGCTACTACTCTTCTTACGCACTCAAAGTCTTTCTGAAAACGACTGACTTAGTGGTTTTCGATAACGCTCAGCAACTTTCTAATTGCAACCATATGTCTAGTTCCGCTAATAAAAAAGTTAATTAATTTTTTTTTAATTAATTAGCTGGTTAATTAGTATGTTTTTTGCAACTCCTGATGTCCACCGTGGATGGTCGTTCGCTCCCGAAGACATTTTCTTTTCTTTTTTTTCAAATGCCGTAATCTTTAGGATTTTTGAAACTTTTCGCAAAAACACCCGGTATGTGGCTTTATTAATGCTTTGAAAGGTTGGTAACTTAGATATACTTACTTAAAGTGGCCATTCAAAGGTTGTCCAACTTCTTCCTCCTTAGCTTTACTCTTTAAATCAAAAGCGAAATGAGAAATCCCGTGGTCGTAACGTGCTTGTGGTGCACAGGCTTCCACGTGCTTTTTAAGTACACCAAGGAACCTGCCATTCGTGAGTGATGATAAGTGCCGTCACCGCACTTACTGGCCACGAACACGAATCCAAATGTTGGTCGACGGGTTGATCGTCGACGAGCGCATACGTCTGAGTGACGCAGTGCTCGTGTTTAAACCGTGAGCTGTGGCCGGCTGACGTGCTTTGGGGCTTGGGGTACCGCTAATGTATCCCATTGCAAAGGCGGCGAGCTTTGGAAGTAAAACAGGTACGAAATAGTCCGCTCTATTTTCAGATGTTCGTAACGAAACGCAGGCTTTTGACATTTTACCCTCTTTCTTTCGGCCCACTAAATAATATGCGATTAGTAAAATCCCAATCTAGAATCATTTATCCTAGTCAAAAATTCCATTGATAGCCCTTTTAACGGAGATTACTGCTTTGGTTATGGACATCTTGATGATATCCAAAGTTCGAATCAATCAATGTTCCTAAATTAGCTCAGCCTACCGATCTGGACAAGTGTTCCTTCACGGGGTTTTCGTGAGAGGACGCATACCTCATTAAATTCTAAATATCCTCGACAGCCCTTTAGGCTGCCCCTAAAACGGGCGAACATGTTTTTTTTTTAACTATAGCCCGCGATAGTAGTGCATATGTTTTTATTTATTATATGCCTATTATACTCTTATAAATACCAGCACACACTTTAAAAAAACGCAAAAAAACAACATCAGTATGCGTTAAAAAGAATACTTGCATTCGTGCCATCTTTGCATTTCAATTTACAGCATCGCATTAGCAGAAATAAGTGTTATGCTTGTTTCACCCAGCTTCCAGACACAAAGCTGCTATACCATGAGGAATAAAAGTCCAGCTAGTATAAATTAACCTATATGAAGGGCTTCGCATATTCTTTTTTGTTCAGTGTAATTAAGAGTGCAGCTGAGCCGATTTATTGCTGTTCAAAGAAAACACTTAACGCAAAACGTGTCCTATAACAAAACAAGCTTTTTTGTTTTTACATGATTTATGACCCTGCTACATGACAAAGTTATCGTCATTTCCATTGAATTGCGTTATCTGCTCGGTCAATCAGCGCGCTCCACTCCTGGCGCTGCGCGGTACAGGCGTGACGTTCGTAGTCAGGATCGCGATCTGATTCGCCGATAACATGATGTCATTCGATGGAAATGATGTTACTTTGCCTTAAAGGGATACTTCAACAAAATTTGAAATATTCCCGTCGTGTTCAAAAATAGGTTGAATATGATCCACAATATCCGTAAATGACAATCGCATGTTTGTGTTTTGATCCTGGTGGCTGTATTTCTCGTTATAAACGGCCCACTCTGGCAAGCGCTTGGAGAAGGCCCAGCTTAGAGCACGTGACATCCAACGCAATCGTGACGTAGGTCGTCTCAAGACGAGCAAAGCTACGGCGAGGCTGACGTCGAGAGGATGGCCTAGTCGTTCCAGCCACCGAAGCGGCTGCTTTTGTACGAATTTTGAGTGACGGGTTAATCTTCTATAATCTTCTAGGGGGACAATAGCGACTTCTGCGACACACAAAAGGGATTCTCGGGAAGATGGGAGTTCCTCCTTCCCCACTTCTCTCGTCGTGGCCGGAGACGAGACAACCTCCGTCACTAGCTGTCAAGGTTCCTAGACGAGCATTACAAACGAGGCGTTAGCGACATCCACCAGGCGCTCTTTGCTAATCGTTTAATTCGTTTTAAAATTCCTTTTCGAGACTTTTTTAAGAAGATATTGGTATGCTCCATGTGATACTGCTCTTTTTAACAAATATAGACCAAAAAATGAGCGCCGAAATTTCGTTGTAGTATCCCTTTAAGTCAGGAGTATTATGCGAATTTTTACTACGTGATTCAAGAGTAACACTTTGCGATTGTAGTGTCTCGACCTACTTTTTTTATATATTTTTAATTTTTATTATTGATGACTTGTGGACGTTTCAAGAACATTGAAGTAAAATGGAAGAACGGAAAGAATAATGACTAGCAACATTTACGTGTTGCTTATGCCCCTAATTTTATAAGTGTTTCATACTCTTCGTGTTTCTTTCCGGTTTTTAGGGAAACAATGGACAATCGGCAGGAGGCCCTGCGAAGGCGTCCAAGGAGAAACAGGGATGTGCATGTTCAACTGGGAGTGCATTCGGCAGGAGGGAACGATGCTTGCCGCCTGCATGGACGGTTTTTTGCTGGGGGCGTGTTGCAAGCTTCCCGAAGAGGTCAACGCCACCGCAGTGTCATGGACAGAACACAGTACGCACACCACTTCAGAAGCGTCAAAAGATAGTGGCGACCCTGAAACGACCACGAGCGAGTACACCTCGAGCTGGTCCGAACACCACCTCCCCGAGGCATCCAGGCTTCCTCTTAGCACAACCACAGAAGCTCCCTCGACCCCTCCGTCAACCGTCATGAGACCTACCGCGCTCGTCGCTAGACCAACGACACTGTGGCCTTTCATCAGACTCCCGACAACGCTGAAACGACCGACCATCGTACAAACATCCACGTCTCAAGGAACGGCAACCGTGAATAACCACCACCGACCGCCGACCATCGCCACCCCGCTAGTGACGGCTTGGATGACTACGAGGCCAGCCATGATATTTACCCCCACCAGGCTGACCCTTCGGCCGCCACATCTGCCTTCAACGCCCTTGTACGTCCAGCGCCCTTCTTTGCAAGCCGTGCTCGCCAACACTCCCATTGGAATACTAGGCTCACTGTTGACGAGACCTTTCACACGGCCTATGACACGTCCGGTCACCTCAGCGATGTTTTCGCGGCCGCAGACAGTCAGCATCTTGCCCTCAAAAACGCACTCGCCCTTGACGACGCCGATGCAATCTGACTCGCCGACGAAAAATCCTCAGAGGCACGAAGTTTCATCAACGGAACCACCGACGCAAACAACAGCACTCGAGCCTTTTACGTCGGTCGCCGGAGAGATCAGCTCTCACGCGGTCAGTAGGCTTCCGCCTGCCACACTAAACGCTTTGGAGGACCTCGCTGCCAGTCTGAAGACTCCTCACGTCCGTTACACCACGGTGAGCGGATTTCCGTCCATGGGGAACGAAGGGACCGTCAGTCAACCAGACTTCATTGACCTGACCGAGTTTGCCACCACGCACCGGCCGCCGACCACGGCTTCGATAGAATACACCCTCGACTTTGATGTCGAAGAGCACCCAACCGTGACGGAGAATGTCAACACTGTCAGCGTCGGGCGACCGTCGTACGGCGAGGTCGCTGACGTCACTGTCACGCACGTCGCGTCTTCAATCGATGCGGCGTCACGGTGGCCGACTTCAACGCGTTGGCCGACTACCACTCGTCGGCCGACTACAACTCGTCGGTTGACTACAACACGTCGGCTGAGGGCAACAACGCCAAACCCGACGTCTCAAGCGGAAACGACACGCCGAGCGACAGTGCAGAAGCCTACGTTTCCTAATCCGACGAAAACGCGGCCAGATCCCACCGCGGGCTCAAACTTAATCCCGCACGTCACTTATCCCTCAAAATACACGCTGCGACCTTCGACCATTCTCAAATTTCCCATGACAAATATAATTGCCATAAAGCGGCCCCCCATTACGACGCTTCAAACTCTGCGTCCCCCGGCCACCACTCAGGTGTATCGTCCAACCTACTACACCACCCTGAAATTCCCAGTTTCTACGAAAAAACCCACCCCCGGCACTGGCAAGCCGGTAAAGACGACGCAGCCCATGACGGCCGCGACGAAACCCAAAAGCACGCCCAAGCCGGTGAAGCCCATTCTCCCGATACCATCTCGGCCGGTGAAGCCCACAAAGGCACCCGTACCGACCAAGTCTTCAACGAAGAAGACAACTCCCCGGCCTGCTCCTTCAAGGCTTCCGGCGCAGCCCCCGACGACGTCTTGGCCATCCGGCAGCACGCTGACCACCAAGCAGAAGCTTCCCGTCAAGGGAACCACCGGGAACGGCAGCGTCACCCCCACGGAAACGAGCCCCCTGCGGTGGGACTACCGGAAACGTGAGACTTCACACTTCAGTTCCTCTTAGCTGTCGATGTCGTGGGTTCCGCAGTTCTCAAGCACCTGCTTCGAACACTCCGAGACCTCCAGGACAAATCAGCTTATTTCCGTATGACAGTTGAGTCGTCTCCTTTGCAATAGTATCCTTAGGTTAAAAGGAATACCTAAAGGGCTTCCAGGTTTCTCTTTTAGTGAGATCGCTGTAAGCGTAGTGAGCGACCCATGATTACGATGATGCACGGCCTCTTTTCCGAATAAAAAACGCGATGAAAGACTAGGGGCATGCATTTTTATATCTTGATCACGGTGTTAATAAAAAAATTGGTCGCGTACAACTTTAATTTGCTTTTAGGACTCTTAGTGTTGTAGATTAAGTTATCATCCTAATGAAGATGCAATCAAGGACGACCTCAGCGTATTGTCCGAATGGCCGAAATACGAGGCAGCCGAACAATTTGTGGAACAAGAAATTGTATTCGGCATTATTGCTCTCTGGCCCACCTTTTCGAGGGATAAGTCTTTTGTTGATAGCTCCTCAAAATGTTAGGTAATACTATGGATGCGCTGAGAAATATTGCAAGAAGACCGCTAATCTAGATCAAACATTTGAGGTTGTTGTTTTAACTTAATTATGACGTCGCAGTTGGCATGAAACAGCTCGTTTTTTTAGGATTCAGTGAAAGTTCATCAGGTGCTAATTTAGAGGTAAAGGGTTGAGCAAAAATTAACTACAGTGCAAATCAAACACAACTCAGAAAGACTGTTTTAGATGCAGAATCAGGTACCAATAACGCAGCTTCGTATATAAAACAAAAGACAGTGAATAAAATAACGAGTCATGACACAAATATAAAACTTGTTAGATCATTCCTCATACGGAATCTTCCTGGACTACTTAATATGCACACGATTTTTTCACAATCTCTGAAGCCTTAATATTTGTTGAAAAAAATGTATGTGCATAATTTGTAACTGGTAGCCAGGCAGCCCTGACATAACTTTGATGTCACCAGCCTTTCGATGACCTGCACTCTCACCACTTAGCTCGAAGCTAAATACCGCCGTAGCACATGCAAAGCTAAGAGCTCGATCCGGTATGCGCTCTTTTCCGTGCATCAGCGCGACTAAGTGAAAGAAGCGCAGTTTAACATTGCCGAAGAGGGAATCACCCCCCCTCCCCCCCGTCACATTTACTTAAAGGAAATGGCGGCCTTGCTGAATGGGTGAATCTGAGGGTCCCGCGGTAGTATTGATTTTATTCATTAAAGTGCATTGTTTATTACAAGAAAGATTTGACACATATGTATAGCATATTAACACATTATGAATTCTAGTGCGATAGCCACTTGAAATTTAAATATTTAGACTTGGCATGACTCCTTTACATTGAAATCGGCTCGTATTTTTGCAATCATTTCTTATATTTTAATGTTTCAAATAAGGATTCACGCTTCTACTAAGAATTTCTCCTACATTAGAAATAAACAAAAACCTCTTATATTTGAGAAAAAAAGACTCGCACCTCGGGGCTATAATTATCAATATAACCCAAAATTTGCCATAAAACCAATAATACACTATTTCAAACAAAATTTGTTTTACCTAATTTTGACAATCGCCATCAAAAACAAGCGTGTTACTAATAAGTCTTGTTTCTCTCTACCACATGACAAAAGACTGCGGGGTACGGCCACTCCGTCCTCAAGGGAGGATAGTCGGGGGCAGGAATTCTTTCTTCGGTGAATGGCCGTGGCAGGTACCTCCAACTTTCCTACTCAATTTTTTTTCCTTGTTTCTGTGGTAGCTTACTGTAAACTTTAACCTGTTCATGTTATATATACCGAGTGTTTTTTTTTTTTTTTTTTTTTTTTTTTTAAGCTTAACAGATTTGTTTAAAAAGATCCGTGAAAGTTAGTTATGCCGCTAGTAAAGGTGTGTTATACGGCCAGGGGGACATATTATAGGGGGCTAATCGTAACAATCAGTCGACTAAATAACTAAAATTCGGTAATTAACTTTTTAATTAATGAAAATAGACATATGGTTCCAATTAGGAACTTGCTCAGCGTCATTGAAAACCACTAAATCAGTCATTTTCAGAAAGACTTTGAGCGCGCGAGGAGCGTAGTAGTGCACTAAAGTTACCACTCGTGGAGCAGGTGCAAAGCTAGCGGTTGCGATAAGGCGCCCGCGCGATTTTACGTCTCTTATCTAGCCCCTGCCTTGTACCTGCTCCACGAGTGGTAACTTCAGTATAATACTACGCTTCTCACGCGCCGAAAGTCTTTCTGAAAACGACTGATTTAGTGGTTTTCGATGACGCTGAGCAAGTTTCTCATTGGAATCATATGCCTATTTTCATTAATTAAAAAATTAAAATTTTTTTTTATTAATTACACGACTGATCGTTACAATTAGCCCCCTATAATATGTCCCCCTGTCCGTATAACTCGCCTCCACAAGCGGCATAAGTGTAACTTCCACGGCTTTTTTTAAACAAATCTCTTAAGCTTAAAAAAAACACCCTGTATATATTTTTTTTCTAAGAGAAAGTGCGTCTTTCAATACAATTTAACCATCCAGGTACTGGTCAAGGAAGCTACGTGGCTAGGACTGTTCATCAAGAACAAATGCGGCGGCGTACTCATCAGTAGCAAGTACGCTCTGACGGCTGCGCACTGCCAACCAGGGTAAGTGATAAGGTCCCCGCGCTCGCGCTAGAAGTGGCTAAAGTAAACAGTTACAGCATTTTAACCTTTAATTGAGTGCGTGTAGGAAAATTATTGAACAGACAAAATTCAAACTGATGTTTTCTATTAAAACACCCCCACAAAAAAACAAAAAAACAAACTTGCAGTTAGAAAAAACAAATACAAAATTCTAGAAGAGGAGGCCCCGGCGCTTTGGAGTTTCCTATTGTAAAACGTTCTAATGTGCAGCTACGTTTTAAGAATTCTATTCTTTCACCAAACCAAAAGCTGCATAGTAGATTTCAGCCTGGGAACGAGACGAGCTACCGTACCATTAATTTCCAGTTATCATCATGAAACCGAGTGTCTTAAATTGCATTTATTCAAACAAGCTGCTTCATTGATTTGATCGTGCTATTATTTTTTTTAACACATTTGAACTTTACTTTTTTTGTGTATAGTTTAGGAAATGTATACGTCATGTTACCTCTGCCCTAATTCCTGATTAGTTTATTTGGAAGGGCGTGCAGCTGGAATTGGTGAGGTCCCTGGTTCGGTTCGATACCAGGACCAGGCGGATTTTTTCGGTCGCGCCCCAATCACCTAGATGTGTTTGGAGATTTCTGCTAATCCTTTGTTTCCCTTGCTCCCCTTTTCCAGGGATTATTATCGTCGTTCTTGTCTAGCTCGCTGGTATCTCTGCATTAATTGCATTATCGTCAAGTTACCTTTGCTTGACGTTGATGTGTTTCAACCGCAATTTTATTAGGTTTGTTCCTCCAGAGAGAAAAAACAAGTCCCTAATTAGTAGCAAAACGCGGGAAATCATTAGCGCTGACATCTTTCGTCCAGTGAGAAAGAACGAGAAGGACAATTGGTAGGACATGTTGGTTTTGCTGCGATAAGTTCGAATGCTTGTCAAAGTTGCTTATTTTTGTGCAATGTTCAACGCCGGTGCTTTCCTACCCATTAACGCTAGAAAAAGCAATTTATACACAGGCTTTACAGATGACGTTTCTCTGCGTCTCCGTGTATATTAAAGTGTCGTCAGCAAAATATAAATTAACCGAGAACACCGATATTTGCGCCTGCGCATCGCCGTTCTAAAGCGGACGAAGTGCATGGGACCTAGTTTTTTTTTACTTAGTCCTGCCTCGTTAATATGGACATCTTCCTACTCCCCAAAAATTGTCCATAATCTGAGTCATTCATAAAAACGAAACAACCGTGCGTGTGTTTATCCAGTTCGTCAACGAAAATATCGTCGACATAAGAGTTGTGACCTATTAAGGGGGTTAATAGTGACGATATGACTGCTTGACCGCTACGGCTGCAGGTTCCTGTCGTCACTGCTCGTGGTCCTGGGCGAGCATGACCTGTCGGGCGACTACGAGACCATGAAACCCGTGTCGGTGCCCGTGCGGAGAATGGTCGTGCACCGGAACTACAACCCGGCCACCTTCGAGAACGATTTGGCCCTTCTGGAGCTAGAGAGGCCGGTCACCTTCCAGCCGCACATCGTGCCCATCTGTTTGCCCGGAAAGAACGAAGACTTCACCGGGAGGACCTCTTACGTCACCGGATGGGGAAAGCTGTCGCACGGTGAGCAGGACTTGGCACGCTGCGTCTTTGTTTTTTCACTCGTTTTAAACCGATGGCTTTATCCCAAACTTCAAAAGTAATCCGTTACAAGTAACGGATTACTTGTACTAGATTACTTCAATCACTCGTTACTTTAAAAACATTGAGCATATTACAGTAACAGGAGAATACGAGCAGAACATTCAGCAGCATAAAGAGAGAAAGTTTAACAAAATAGAATACATCAGAAATGAGAGAATAGCGGAAAAGTGAACACGATTTTTTTTTTTTTGTATGACCGGTCACTAGTATTACTACAAAAACGATTAACTCGTGTAGAAATATAAGAAAGACAAACATCAAGTAAGTCAACGCCGAGTAGGCTCTCCGTTACCTTCCATCGTATTTTTCTTCTTCTCCCGGGCAGGAGAAAGCTCTTCCTGTTTATTTGTTTTTGTCTTTTACACCGTTTAACCCTTTCCAAATTTCTTCGACGTCTTCCGCCACCTGCACAAATATTTAACGTGGGTCCGTATCGCCTCGATTTTCAGGTTCACAACTCGCGTAACAGACGATGTAGCCTCGCGCGAGGGGGTTAAATTCTCTTAACTTTGATGTGCGCTACTTAATTTTAGCACGCTCTTGAGGCACGGCTGAAAAGCGCCCGGTGCGAGGCTAAGAGCGTTGTCTTCGAGAGTACGGACGATACTTCTTTTGGTGTACTTGTGAGGGCATGGTGGTCGAGTCCACTCCTCACTTTACAGTCAACTCTCAACATAAAGGGGGGGGGGGGGGGGTTAGGCCATCTAAGGAGTGCTGACAAACGGAGAGAGAACGCGTAGAAGTGGGGTGATCCTCTTTTGTTTTGTGAGAGAGATGGCCACCGCCTGTCTCTCTCTCTAATCCCTCACCTCCCCTGGGCTCCACAAATATTGGTATGAAAGTAAGAACCGGATGAGCGATCGATAACCCGTAACCGCCAATTTTTCTCTGGCTGGTCAAGTTTTCAGTCATGGATAGTACGTCGTCTCCATGGCCATCTCTTAATGAGATGTTCAAAATTCAGGGCATTAAGGAGAATGGAAACCTAGAGTTTCAGGGCAAACTTTGCTTGCAAAAAAAACAAAAAAAAACAAAAAAAAAAACACAAAAACACACGCACATTGTCATCAGCAAGAACAATAAACTCTAATCTGCGGAAACACATTAAGGTAATCTGGGACACCTGCATTCTGCATTAGCTATACATTGGAACATTAGAACCAATTTTTTTCTTTTCTTGTAAATAACAGGCGAAACACAAGAGGCAAAAGGAAGCTTTCGTAGATCGCTTCTTTAGCTCCGAATGTGATAGCGGAGGAAGACGCTGCTTCTGAGCATGCGCATCGCTAGCATTGTCTGCGCAATTTTAGGGATCATTTTCGGAGGCCGTAAGCTAGCGGGATGGCGGGTGTGGTTGCAGCTTTCGGTGCTTTGTGAGCTTACAGGAGAACGGAGTGCACCTACAGTCTGTCTCTCTAATACAATATCTGATTTTTACAAAAACTACCAGAATTAGGCGTATGAAAAGTGAAAAATAGTGTTGCAGAATATTTTTTTTAAGATATCAAAATTGTTTATATTGTTTTCCAGATAAGTTTACAGAAAAGTGCTTGAAGTAATTTGAAACGGAACGAGTAAAGTAATCCGTTACTTTTCAGCGAAAGTAATTTATAACGGTAATCCATTACATTTGAGGCTCGGTAATTTGCAATTGTGATCCATTACATTTTTCAAGTAACGAGAACAACTCTGCTTTATAGACAATTGCAAGCATGGCGCCACAAGTGGTGCCCCATGCGTGCAAGCGCGTGCAACGCGCGGGTGAACGTAGCTTTGGCAAGCTCGTAATCGCACGGGCATGCCTGCTCGAGCAGAGACATGGCGGCAGCCAGTCGCTCAGCTTGCAATCGTCTATACGGGTACGGGAACCCTCCACGAACCTTTTTCGCTGGTGTTGGTTTCTCCACAAACGTCAGAATGTCACGTGTCACCATGGCGCCACGTGACACGATGGCGTCACTTCACACAATGCCATCTCGCGACTCCATGATATCACTACGTAATCATGATGTTTTTCGTCATGGTTACATTCTGATTAACTGCTCGTTTTTGTGGCGTCGCCGAGTTTGGGACAACTTAGAATCAAATTGCTTGTATCGACAGTGTCTGGTATAACAATATACAGCCGCCCGAAGGTACTCGTAGGTTGATGAATTTATCGTGTCAAATTATCAGGAGCTAATGCTTTAATGTTGTGGAGCTAAGAAAAAAAATCCAACTTTGCGCATAAGGTGAGCCTGACGGGTTTTGGTTTTGAATTATGGGTTTTGGAACCAGTTGCTATTGAAGGTTAAAGCAATAATATTAATCGCCATCATCTGGAGACACTGGAGACACAGCCCCCTCGGTCGCTCCAAGGAATAGCGCTGACCTACGGATTCCCAGTTGGCACGTCCGAGTCCTGGCCAAGGTGCTCACAACATGACGGAGACTTATTACGGAAACGTAATAAAACACAGATATGAAGTTAAGCTAGGAACAGCATTACTTTCTACACCCTACGATAGAGCAGCACCAGTGTACAATCTTTGTCAGTTCTAGAAAATGTCTCTTTGGAGCTTACCTCGTGCGACAATGCCCCTATAATAAAGACATGCTAGCTTAATTTAAGTGAAGGTAAGTTTGTTGTCGTTTCTCTCTCTTGGAGGGCATACCTTACTCAATATTTACCATCCCAAGTTAGTTGAAGAAAATGTAGTTGCTTAAGGAGAGTTTAAAATAAAGAAAATATAAATATTTACTTGTAATTTTGCCACATTTAGAGAAATCAGCTGTATTTTATTTTAGAAATAACAAAGTTCCCATAACGGCTAAGCATATCTTTTTATATATCTTAAAATTCAATGGAAGATGCTTATATTGGTACGTTTTGGGCCATTTTATAAAGGGTATTTCGTTGAAAAAATAATTTCTGAATGCATCTATAAAATATGTTTACTGGACGTGTTTCGTAACTTATCTTGCACAGAAATGTTTTTTTTTTTAATTTTAAACAATCTGCGCACATGTTGTAAACCTTTCATAAATGAAGTTGAAAACAGTATATTACGTCCATTTATCGGTGTGAAATTGACGACTTTGCAAAGTCCCATAGTGAAACCTTGGCAGTCTCCACGCCACGAGTTTCGAAATTTTACATCTCCGGAAGAAAATTAGCTACGACGTTCATATGTAGCTGGATGCGCCTCACAAGGACATGGTTTTCACATATATTTGTTTTAATAGGTATAAAAAAATATGAGCTCGATCATCATTGTCCAATCTATAATAAAAAAAACCCTGTGGTCGATGCTCAAGTGCTGCGGTTTTATTTCCTGAAGACTACACCGATGTTACTGCAGGTCGAAATAAGAGGTTGAATTGGGAGGATGAAGACGGTTTTGGGCATCAATGAGCGACAATGTTACTTCACTCACCTTCCTACGTCGAACGCTGCTTTAACGGAATGTCAGCTTGCCAGCAGGCCCAACATTTACCCAGACTGCTTTGTTTTCGAGCCTTCAGGGTTTAAGCTGGAGTCTGCATCAGATCGGTGCGTCAAGCAAACTCCGGCTCTATAAAGACTTCCACTCAGGATGTCTAAATATTAAACGCTCCTTCAAAAAAAAAAAAAGAAAAAAAAAACAATCATCGATGTGGATAAAAACAATGTAATTCTATAAAGATTTATATCTTGGCTTACTTTCGCAATGTCTTCTGCTACAGGTGGGTCTGTGCCCAACGTGCTCCAATACGTCCAGGTCCCGATTCTGAGCAACAACAGGTGCCAGAAGATGTTCATGCTGGCTGGTCACGTGAAAGCCATCAGGGACAACTTTGTCTGTGCAGGATACGACAGAGGAAATCGAGATTCCTGCGAGGTACGTAGTTAAGTACTTGTTGTGGGGTGGTTGCCATAGATGATGGGAACCGAGATACCGCCTTGGTCGACGGAGATCGTAGAGAAGCACCGGGATACCCCGGGTGAAGCTTACCAATATATAAGTATATAGTATATGTAGTTTATTTGCATATTATATTCCGGCTGGGTTACCAGATCTAGAGACCCGTTCACACACTTGCAGCCGAGTAGAACCGGCTGAGACGAGACCGGTTTTTCAGCCTCTTGCAACGGCGGAGGACGAGATGTGCTGCTGCGGAGCATGCCCTACGTCGTCGCAAGAAGCTTAAAAACCGGTCTTGTCTATCTCGGTCGTTTTCGGTTACAAGTGTGGGAACGGCGTTTTAGGAGCTGGTGACGTCCTGGCCCTCCGATGCTCAGCGAAGACTCCCACATTCTTCCCCCTCGCGCCGTCAAGTTTCCCGAAATCGTCCTCCGTCTTCCGATTCCCCGACGCGCCTTGCTTGCTCGGAGGTTTCGTTACCCTCAACGCGCCCGATCCGGCTTGGTGGGGGAACGCATAGATCCCTCGGTTGTGAAGTGCCCTGCCCTAGACTCGGGCTTCTCCCGAAGCCATAAGCTGCCGACGGTCGTGGCTGCGACCGCCGCCCTCGTAAATATTGAAAAAATTTGCCTTCTTTTGACCCTATCTAAAAATAAACAGAACTCAAAACACCTTCAAAGAACTCTTTGAATCTAACATAAGTGACGACATTTATCAGCATTATACTTTTGTATATACAGGATGTTTAATTTTACCTCAAGCAAATCTATTAAAAAAAAGCACGTAAAATGCACACTAACATTGTCAATGCAGGACAGTTATGCGGCCCGGGGGGGGGGGGGGGGGGGGGACATTTCATCGGGAAAAAATCGGCAGAATTAACTAAAATGTGTTTATTAACTTTTTAAACAAAAAACAAAACAAAAAACATTTTCTTGCGCCGGCGCTCATTGTCATCCAGCTCCCTAATTTCATTTCTGTGGAAACAAGGTTTTAACTAGAAACTTGCTTAGCGTCATCCAAAGCCACTAAATTCGTTAATTGTAAGGACATGAAGCACATTGCAAAGAGGGAGTGTGCTAAGGTTACCGTTGGTGCAATAGCTGGCTGTGAGAAAATGCTCATATTAATCTTATAATTCGTGTTTCCGCACCGCAATCACGCGCTTTTCACGTGCTATGTCTTCTTAAAATGAACTAATTCAGTGATTTTTTATTACGCTCAGTAAGTTTTTACTTCAAACAATGTTTATCTTCACCGATTAAAAAGTTAATGAAAAATATTTTAGCTAATCATTCGACTTAATCTGACTATTTCACTCCTTCAATAATTTCCTCCTGGCCGTATAACTCACCTGCACAGAGCGCATTTGTGTATCTCTCCTAACTTTAAAAAAACATTTTTTTTTTTGTATTTACAATATACACCTTTATTTTATTTCTTAATGACAAGATTTTATCTGTAAAGTTTTGTATAGTTAGCGATTCATATAAGTTGATTTTTGTCCACATAATTTATAAACGTGTTGACATTCCAAACTAAATACTACGCTTTAACAGAAAGTCAATGTTTTAGAGCCCCGCTAAAAATTTACAATGCAAGCCCCAAAGGAAAGGTTTAGCCTGTTTCATTTTGTCTATGCCACTATCTTAAACTTACCGCCATTAAAAATTCAGAATTCTCAACTGACCAACTTGTCACTTTCAATAGTTGACTATCGACAGTTTTATAATTGGAGTTATTTTCATAAATACTTTTGCATGTATAAAAAAAAATCCTATCTGATTTAGAATTCTTATGCACGGGTACACCGCGTTGTGTGCTACCTCGCAAGGGCTGCGAAGCCCTGTAATTTATTTATTTGAAAATACAGTTAGCCCTTTTTTGAGGGCCGTTACAGGAAGGGTATAACTTTAATTTTCTTTTCATTTATTTACATCAAATCGCCCGAAGTCATTACGTGAGGGGGGAACAAAGTAATAATAAATGCTTCAAATTCAAAGCATACAAAATTAAAAAAGGCTTAACAAAGTCTTGCATGAAAAGAAACGAAAAAAACAATATTTACACTCTAATGTAGTACATAGGGTGCTACATTAGACTATAATTCTTCGCAAGCACACTTATATTGACTACAATCAAAAATGTTTACCACATTCTTCGGCAGGTCATCCCATTTTTTTAATATACATATTTAAAGGCGACTCCGAAGAATGCTGTTTGGTGCGACATAAGGGCAGCCGGATTTTGTGCTGGTGATCGTGCCAAGGAAAAATTGTGTGGGGGGAGGGGAGGGGGGGTTAAAAGTTTGAAGATGCGGATTATGGTAGTATAGCGGTGAAGAAGGGTTAATCGCTATACTTTGCGTCTGTTGCATAGAGATGCAAGGCCAGCTTTAGACTTTAGAGCTGTCACACTAAACGTAAAATAATAATCTCTAAAAGTAAAGCGAACGGCTTTGCTTTGGGTAGATTCGACTTTTTAAATTAAGTAATCTAGACAGGAACTCCGAATTAGGTCAGCGTACTCTACCGTCGAACGAAGGAAGGACTAGCGAGTTAACAAGCAAACATCAGAGGGTGCTCAATATAAATTTCTTCTAAAATAACCCTATGTACAATTAGCTTTTCCAACTATGTAACCAGTATGCAGGTTCGAATCTAGATTTTTCGTTAGTATTAAACCTAGATATTTATATTTGCTAACTTTTTTTCAATGAAGCTGTTTATTTCGTAGCCAGGAGTAATTGTCGTTTTCTTTGTAAAAAAATGTCAGTAGTTTAGTCTTTTTAGTGTTGATGCTCATTTGCCGATTCTCGCACCATGATACTGAAAAATTTAGGTCACGCTGCAGGTCAAGCTATCGTCTTTGGTAACTAGGCGCGTACAAAATTACGCAGTCATTCACGACAAGTCTGATTTGAGAGCAGATTAAATTGGAGAGATTATTTACGTAAAAGAATTTTTGATTTTACTATAATTTTATGAGATGAGTTATTACGAACTGAGTGATTGAGTTCTGTCGGAAAGGAATGCCTTCATCTATACAAGAATTGACTGGTGAATGTTAAGAGCTTAATTTTGATTTTTTTTAATAAACGCTGGTGAGGGACTCGGTCAAACGGTTTCGAAAAAACAACAAAAATATCAGCAGTTTGTGTTTGAGAATGTGTGTTCTCATGCGCATTGGTAGGAAATACAAAAAAGCTGAGTCTCGCAGGATCTCTCTTTACGGAAATCGTGCTGGTTAGGGAAGAAAAAGTTTATATCTGAGAGGTTACTAACGACGTGACTGATGATAACATGGTCAAGGAGCTCAAAGGGTATGCTGGTTGGGGTAATTGGGCTATAATCAATAGCAGACAGATGCCTCCAGACCAGTGTTGTACGTAACAGCGTTTTAAGGAAAGGGGGTTACTGGAACGCGTTTATTTTAAAAACAACGAAGGAACGCCACCGTTCCATCTTACATCGGTGCAACTGTAACAAAAAGCTCGTTACGTTCTTACAAAAAAAAGGCGTTTCTTTTTTTTTTTTTTTTGACCAGTGAGATAATTTTTATATAGTTTTAATTGAGAAATTCTAGAAAGTCTGAAAACAATAACTTTACGAAGAGCAGCTTTTTGTTAACTTTTGTGTAACCTATTTTAGGATTTATTTTGTGGGGTCCTCGCTTGGTAACAGTCGGGTGCAGGCGAGCTGGTAAACATTGATTCATCTTTCATTACTCTAGACTGCGGCAAAAAAAAAAAGAACACCTTTTAGTCGAAGGAAAAGGCACAGAAAAAGGGACCTCTCAAACTCAGCAACACTTTTTGCTTCCATGGATCCTGATACACACATAAATATAAGCAAGACTACAGCCCCCGCTGAACGTCCACACAGACCTACCGTTATAACAATACCAGCTAACCAGATATCGAACGGACCCTTGTAGCTCGAACCTTAATCACTCAAAAGATATACAAAAATTAATCTTTATATCGTCTCCCCTTCTCCCCTACCTTCACACTGAACAATGAATCCTACCTTCATCAAGACGGACTGGTAGCTTTTAAGACTGAGCTTCCGAAAGCCCTTCTCTCTTCTCCAATTGCTCCTCTTTCGGACACCAACATCGAGAAGCAACTGTTGTTAAGTTCAACCAAGGGACTTAGATTGAAACCTGTGAGGTCGTTGTAAAACGCTCGTACGATGTGGAGTAACCATTTAATAAAGAATAATAAAATTAACCCCGCTCCTTCTTCCCGGCTCACAGTACATTTGGCTCGTCTGAATCGTCCACCGCAAACAGGAATATCTTAAAACGCAGAGATGTTTAAAGGCCAATGTATCAACAAATAAAACTTGCTTCCGGTTTTTGTTTTTTCTCCTGGAGTCCCTGCATTAAGGCATCCAGATTTTTATATTGACATTTGATGGGATGTATATATATATTTATATATAAAGAAACGTCGTTTGAACTACATAAATATGGTAATTAGCACAATACAAAAGTAATGCATACGTAACGATACATTCAATTTTACAAACGGTAACGGAAACGTTACCGTTTATAAAATTCTCACAGATGAAACTTGTAACGGGAACGCGTTCCAAAAATTATGAGGAACGAGCTTTCGTTGCTCTTTTTGAGGCACGTGTAGAACATACTTAAAATAGGAATAACCTTTGCATGTGAATTAAATCTGTACAGCCTACTTAAGAAGAGGAATAACCTTTGCATGTGTCCAGTCTCTAGGTAGCGATCCCTGGTCCAGACTATGTTGAAATAGTACAGGGGTGGCCAGGCTGACCCGACCTGAGAGCCGCAAACAAAACCATGAAACTTCCAAGAGACGCGGGGGTGGGTGGGCAAACTTTTGTTCAGAGCAATAAACAAAACTCGAACCACCTTCAATCTATCCGAGTCAAAAGCAGTCCAACGGTACGTAAGGTAGCAGTAGCACAAGACTACCAAACCGCAACCTGTCTTTC